TCAGAAAAGAAACCCGAAGGGCACACTTCGGGGGCGGCAAAGAGGGGGGTGTCCAAGAGGGGGAGGTGCAAATCATGACCGGCGGCATGTGCGCGGCCCCGCGGGGGGGCCAGGGACGTAATGACATAAGAAGAGGCGCCATGACATCTGGGGAGATATTATGGCCCCGCCATGATATCCCCCCCCCTAGTCATCACCCCCCTCTTTTCCGCCCCCGAACACTGCCATGGGGGATGTAGGAGGCATGGGTCGCGAGGCACAGGACACAAGAGTATACCCTTGATTTGGCAGGGCCGACATGCGAATCCGGGCCGACGGTACGCCACGGCGTGGGCCCCTTCGGCGAGGTCCCAAAGGATTCGCCCCCCCAAACAAAAATCCCGAACTCCCCAGACCCCATCGGGTCACACAAAAAAGTCATGGCGGGAAATGTTTCGCTGTATTTCGGCCTCTGGGGGCCCTTACCGGCCCTCGGGACCGTCAAATTATCCTGGCGAAGGACCCAACCATATGCAGTTGTGAATGCCGCAATTGTGAATGCCATCTTCGCCTGCGCTCCCTATGTGGCCACGGCTTCCCGCCGGAGCCCGACATGCTCAGGGACACGTTCGTGGCCGTCTTCGCGGGCGCCGACGACGACAAGGACGGCGTCCCTCTCACCGAGGAGCAGAAGCAGGAGAAGGCCTTGAGAGCCATGAGGGAGGAGGTGGCGTTGCACGTCGACAAGGCGGAGTACGACGCCCATGCGCGGTTGTTGAAGCAGCGCAACTATGGGGCCACGATCCTCGTGAGGGATGTGCCGCTATGGCCCGGGCCGCCATGCGAACCCTGCCACTGGCGCCTTCGGTGGAGCTCCAGTGGGGCCACGGTCCTCGTGAGCCGAAATGGCCCGAGGCCGCCATGCGAACCCTGCCACTGGGGCCTTCGGTGGAGCTCCCCATAGGGCCACGATCCTCGTGAGGGGTGTGCCGAAATGGCCCGAGGCCCTCCCTATGGGGCCACGATCCTCGTGAGGGGTGTGCCGAAATGGCCCGAGGCCGCCATGCGAACCCTGCCACTGGGGGCCTTCGGTGGAGCTCCCTATGGGGCCACAATCAATCCTCGAGAGGGGTGTGCCGAAATGGCCCGAGGCCGCCATGCGAACCCTGCCACTGGCGCCTTCAGTGGAGCTCCCTATGGGGCCACGATCCTCGTGAGGGGTGTGCCGAAATGGCCCGAGGCCGCCATGCGAACCCTGCCTCTGGGGCCTTCGGTGGAGCTCCCTATGTGGCCACGATCCTCGTGAGGAGTGTGCCGAAATGGCCCGAGGCCGCCATGCGAACCCTGCCACTGGCGCCTTCGGCGGGGCTCCCTATGGGGCCACGATCCTCGTGAGGGGTGTGCCGAAATGGCCCGAGGCCGCCATGCGAACCCTGCCACTGGGCCTTCGGTGGAGCTCCCTATGGGGCCACGATCCTCGTGAGGGGTGTGCCGAAATGGCCCGAGGCCGCCATGCGAACCCTGCCACTGGCGCCTTCGTGGAGCTCCCTATGGGGCCACGATCCTCGTGAGGGGTGTGCCGAAATGGCCCGAGGCCGCCATGCGAACCCTGCCACTGGCGCCTTCGGTGGAGCTCCCTATGGGGCCACGATCCTCGTGAGGGGTGTGCCGAAATGGCCCGAGGCCGCCATGCGAACCCTGCCACTGGCGCCTTCGGTGGAGCTCCCTATGGGGCCACGATCCTCGTGAGGGGTGTGCCGAAATGGCCCGAGGCCGCCATGCGAACCCTGCCATTGGGGGCCTTCGGTGGAGCTCCCTATGGGGCCACGATCCTCGTGAGGGGTGTGCCGAAATGGCCCGAGGCCGCCATGCGAACCCTGCCACTGCAGCCTTCGGTGGAGCTCCCTATGGGGCCACGGTCCTCGTGAGGGGTGTGCCGAAATGGCCCGAGGCCGCCATGCGAACCCTGCCACTGGAGCCTTCGGTGGAGCTCCCTATGGGGCCGCGATCTTCGTGAGGGGTGTGCCGAAATGGCCCGAGGCCGCCATGCGAACCCTGCCAGTGGGGCCTTCGGTGGAGCTCCCTATGGGGCCACGAAGCGGTGGGTGAAACGCAGGGATGAAGAGGAGGAAGGGGGCAGCGGGAGGAGTGGACGCGGGGCGCTGTCTCTTCAAAACGAGGACCCAACACCACAGGATGGTTGGGAAAAACGACTCGGGATGAAAATCTGGTCCCAGGGAAGGGGTCGAGACCTCTGGGGGTCGACGTCATGAAAAATCATGACATCGGGGGTCTGGGTCTTTACAATCAACCCGTCTCATAAGGATGCGCGAAAAGGATGCAAGGGCCTTGGACCTTGGAAGGCCATCCAGGAGCTTTCCGAGCGGGGCGCAGCCAGCGAAAGTGGCCAAGGATGGGCCGAGGAGGCAAGAATGCAAGGGCACCCTTGGAAAGGTTGCGCATCCTTACCATGCGGGTTGACTGTAGGAGGGGACCTGAGTTAGGAGGGCCAAAAAACATTAGGGATTGGGTTTCTCTGCAGATGTATCGAGCCAAGCCGCCCCGAATGATTCCCCCTCATGCAAAGAGGGGGACCTAAGCGAGGCCACGCCTGCATTACGTTATCAGGGTCAGTGGCCCTCTCCTCCTCGCGGACAGAGAGGAGCCACCGACGGGGCCAGGCTCGGAGTCGCTTCTGCCGGCGCCCGAGAAGTCGGCGACGCCAGCGCCGGCGCCAACGAGCCTGGGGGGATCAAACATAGCCTGGCGCTGCTACTCCCATGTCCTCTCCCGGGGCGCGTTCCGTCCACAGGGCTCCCTGTCTGTCTCTGCTGCGACTCCCTCGGCCCACATGGGGAACACCTCCTTCGCCATCTCCTGCTCCCTTCCACCTTGATCCCCCTCCTCCTCCTCCTCCTCCTCCTCCTCCTCCTCCTCCTCCTCCTCCTCCTCCTCCTCCTCCTCGTATTCGTCGTCGTCGTCGTCGTCTTCAGGGTCGGCGGCACCGGCCGTAAGGCCCTAGCAATATCCTGGTACTGCCACTCCCATGACCTCTCCCGGGGTGAGTTCCGACCCACGGCTGGAGCGAGGAGCGAGGAGGAGGAGGAGCGAGGAGCGAGGAGGAGGAGCGAGGAGGAGGAGCGAGGAGGAGGAGGAGGAGGAGGAGCTAGGAGGAGGAGGAGGAGGAGGAGGAGGAGGAGGAGGAGGAGGAGGAGGGAGAGGAGGAGGAGCGGAGGAGGAGCGAGGAGCGAGGAGCGAGGAGCGAGGAGGAGGAGGAGGAGGAGGAGGAGCGAATCCAGCCGCGGCGACTGCAGGGCCTCCCAGGAGGCCCGAGGACAGGCGACCACGAGGCCAAGGGGCAGTCAGCAGCACGGTCGTGCAAGGCCCCGAACGACCTCCTGCTGCCTCTCGGCGCGCTCTGGAAGCGCCCACGACGTGCTCCAGCTGTCCTTTTGGGGATCTGTACACCATGCGAAATGCTTAAGAAATCATGGGTTCAGAAATTCAGAGTCTCAGAATTTGAATAACAAACCCAGACTTTCGAATAAAATCTTAGGACTTACATTGAAACATTAAGAATAATCGAGACTCTGGCCGAAAACTCAAGTTTTCTTAAGCATCGCCTAAGGTGTATATTTGCGTAGATTCACATGGCCTGATCGCCACGAGCCGATCGGCGAGAGGTCGTCAAGCCCTTGGGGGTTGTGGGTACCTGTTCCTCTGCCGAGAGTGAAGGAGCCCTGGGAGACACATAGAAGTAGACACGAACAACAGGATGCCCTATATTTCCCATATTTCCTGGGTGTTCGTCTTCCCCCCCACTTCCCATATTTTCCCATATTTCCTGCGGAGTCGACGATTGATTGTGCAGGGACCGACCGTCCCGGCATTCCTATAGTCCTACCACGAAATGTTCTTAAACCCAAGCGTGTTCCCATAACAAAAACAATGCTCTTAGAACATTAACCCGATGTGTTCAAACGAGACAGTCCCAGCCAGAAATGTTCTAAGAACATGTCGCGGAAACCACAAAGGATTCTGAGAACATTCTTGGGTAGGGCTATAGGCGAGCAGGGACGCTTCGCCACTGCTTGAGATTAATTGTGTCTGTGTGTGTTTTCCCCCTCCTGAGAGTGAAGGGAAACTGGGGCACACTAATAAATAGACACAAATAACAGGATTCCCCCATATCTTCCCATATGTTCTGGGTTTTTATCTTCCCCCCCCACTTCCCACATGTTCCAATATTTTCTGGGGAATCGACGATTAATTGTGTCTGTGTGTTTCTTTTCCTCCTGAGAGAGAGCCACGCCCGCAACGCCGCGTTGTAGCGCCCCCTGCGCACCGCGAAGTCCCCGCAGGCGCCCGCCCGCACCGGCGGCACGGCGAGCACGAGGCGCGCGCCGCCCGCGGCCGCGGGATGCCGGGCCACGTCCTCGAGCACGGCCTGCCGCGCGCGCCCGCCCGGCCGCTCTCGCCTCCTCCACCTCCCCCTCCTCCTCCTCCTCCTCCTCCTCCTCCTCCTCCCCCTCCTCTCTCCTCCTCCTCCTCCTCCTCCTCCTCTCCTCCTCCCTCCTCCTCCTCCTCCCTCCTCCTCCTTCCTCCTCCTCCGCCTCCTCCTCCTCCTCCTCCTCCTCCTCCTCCTCCTCCTCCTTCTCCTCCTCCTCCTCCTCCTCTCAAGCCATTATGGTGCGAGGTCCCCTTGGGGTGAGGCGGCCTCCATCAGACACCACACGCGCGCACCGCGCACGGGCCGGCGTCAGGCGCCCGCTACGTGCGTCCGCGGCTTGAGGGGGCGCCTGCGGGCGGCAAAAGTCGTGTGGTGCGAGTTCGCGCATACATGGGCAAGACGGGCAGCCAGAGGTGCTCTTCACGTTCTGTTTCCAGGGATGGCTGCAAGACGCGCTATGAGTACTACGTCTGTGGGATCTGTCCTCGTTCTTGGGTGTATAAGTCTCGTGCTGGCCAACCTGGTTGGGAAGAGTGTCAGACCTGTGGAGTCCCCTGGCCATCACGCACAGGGCTGCAAGCCGCTCGCAACGGGACAGCCGCGGGTCGCACCGTCACCTTCAATGTGGACGACTCCCCGCTGGTGCAGAAGCTCATGCCCAATTTGAAGGCGGCGCGCGAGGCCAAGGACGCCGCCGCCATCCAGGCGCTGGAGCTGGTCTGTCCCGAGCTGGCCAAGACGGCAGAGCTCTCGCCCGCGCCTGCGATCCTCCTGGAACAGGCTGCGCGGCAGCTGCGGCAGTTCCACGGCCAGCAGAAGCAGCTCAAGGAGCAGATCGTGGCCAACGCCAGGACTGGCAAGGACCTCCTCCGCAGGCTCAACGAGAACATCAAAGCCTACAATGAGGCGCAAGAGGAGGTGGATCGCTACTCAGCTCAGACGGGTACTCCAGCGGCCAGCTCAGGGAATGGCGGCCCTGCAGACGACACCGAGTTCCCCTCCCTCTCGGAAGAGGACCTCCAGCTCCTCACGCCCGAGCAACAGCAGTACTACAAGGACGCGGCCGCGGCGGCTCAGCAGGCCCAGACCACCCTACAGTCCGCCACCGACGCGGGCAAGCAGGCGAGGGAGGCGGCCGCCACGCTCCGCAACCTCCGTGAGCAGGTCGCCTCGACCAAGCGGCGCAAGGCAGACACGGCCTGTGGAGCGGCCGCAGGCGGCGGCGGCGCAGCCGCGGCTTCCGCCGCGGCCCCGTCGCCCGAGGACGCTGGCGGCCGTGACTTCAGCACTCCCGAGGCGGTCGACGAGTGCATCAGGATCACGGCCTCGCGCAGGACTGCCGTGGCGGGGGCCGCGGCTGCCAAGGGGCCGTCGGCCGCGCCAGTGGCGCCCCCCGTCCCGCAGACGGCAGCGGCGCCAGCAGCGGCAGCAGGAGCGGCGGTCCCAGGCAAGGGCGACGGCAAGAGCGGCAAGGACCAGGCGAAGGGGGAACAGGGCTGTCGTAGGAGGAGCCGCTCGGAGGAGCGAGGGCCGCCAGGATAATAGGTCGGCCTCAGCCAGGACCCCCTTCGGCAAGAGGGACTTTGCCTCGGTCTTTTTTTCGGCAACGTCACCGTACTCCCCCAAGGTCAAGAAGTTCATCGAGACGTCCGATCACGACCTGATCGGCCTTGCGGAGCACCACCTCGGCAAGGGCAAGTGCATCCAGGAGGAGAGAAGCGCCTCCGCAGTTTTGGATGGCGTTCAGAGGGGACATGGACGCCAGCGACTCCCTCTACTCGTTCAGTGTCGGGCACCCACGGTGGCACGTGTTGGCTGAGGAGAGCCACCTACGCCACCAGCGTCCACTTGCAGGGCGCCAACCACCAGAGCGTGTTCCAGGACGCGCTCCAGGACGTCTCCGTGGTGCTCTGGCGTTTCCAGGGGGCCACGTTCGCCTTCATCGTGTGCTACTTGGACTGCTCCATCGGCCTCGTTGGGACCAACGCCAGGAAGATGACCACAACCGCTCGGATTGTTAAGTCCTTGGGAGTTCCTTGGTGCTTGGTGGGCGATTTCAATGCCTCTCCAGAAGAACTGACGCGCTTGGGCTGGCTTCGCACCCTGAAGGCGCGAACCATTACGCCTGAGGGTGTGAACATCACGTGCACGTCGGGCAAGGGTCGCATGCTGGACTACGTCGTCGTGCCCGACAGCTTCCGTCCCTTCCTCAAGAGGGTGAAGCCAGTCCAGAAGCGGCCGTGGGGCCCGCACATCGGCCTCAACATCCTGGTCACTGCGAGGCCTGCCGCAGTGATGCTACGTGCCCCTGTGCTCCCCGTTCCTCTCGAAGTGCCTGCAGGGGAAGTTCACGTGCCCAAGGGAATCAAGCGCTGTCAACGCGACAGGCAGCGGCACGCAGAACTGCAGCAGGCCAAGGAAGATTGCGATCAGTTGCAAGAGGGCGACCTGCTCAACGACGACGATGAGCACCTCCTCGAGGACACCAACACCCAGTGGCGGCTTCAGCAGCGCAATGACTACGTCTGCTCGCCCTGGGCGGAGCACGTCACCGAGGCCCAGGAGCGCGTGGGCATGCACGTCTCAGCGGGCGAGGATGTGATGGCCAGCATCGCGTACCAGATGGACCCGAACATGGCGCAGGCATTGGCGGTGCAGCACGGACACTGGGCCGAGGCGGCGGAGTCGCAGCTGGCCGAGCTCTGCGGCACCGAGCCTCGTGACAAAGCCCGACGTGGTCTACCCGTCAAGTACCAGTGGCGCAAGGCGCAGGAGCAGACGGCCGACTCGCAGTTCGGCCACGCCTGTGCGCAGGACATCGGTGGCAAGTGGGCCAGCCTCCACGCCAGGGTGCAAGAGCAGTTCATCGCACTTGGGCGCCACCGCCACACTGCGTACCAGCGCAAGGTGCAGGACATCGTCTCCGACATCATCAGCAGCATCAGGTACCTCCTCACCTCCCAGGGGCCCGTGCCCGAGGACCAGCTGCAGGCCACCAAGGGGAAGTGGCGAGTGCACCTGGACGGCGACAAGGTCCTCGGCCACGGTGAGCGCATCCGCTACTCCAGGAACTTCCCCGAGTGGCAGGCCTTTGCGCTGAAGGTACAGGCGAGAGCGGCTAGGCATGCCAGCTTGGCGTGGCAACAGACCCGTAGCGAGATTCTAGCATGGGCCAAGGCAAGTACCCAGGGATCCATGCGAGGCGCCCACCGCTACCTCAAGAAGGACGAAGTGCAGGTCCTCGACGAGACCTGCGTCGACCCCGACACTGGAGAGGACTGCGACACAGTGCAGGCCTCCACCGAGGCCAGGGCACGCCGCTGGCGTGACCGATGGACCAGTAAGCCCGACCGCGTGCCTGCCTTGCGCGAGGCGCTGGGTGAGCTGCGGACCCTGGCAAGCAAGGCGCTGCCAGAACGGCACTACCACACGAGAGACTACATGGTGAACGCCGCCAGGACATTCCCCAAGGCCACGGGCAAGGGCCCTGATCAGTGGACGCCAGGCCACCTCCTCGCGGTCTCCGACCAGGGACAGGAGGCGTTCACCACCCTGCTCAACATGGTGGAGCGCGCCTTGGCCTGGCCGCATCAGCTCCTACACAACTGGTACGCCCTCCTACCGAAGGGCGCCAAGCAGGTGGTCGGCAACGAGAGGGACATCGGCCTCCTCCCCATGCCCGTGCGCATCTGGGGCCGCATGACCAAGGCTACCATGACCGAGTGGTGTGACAAGCGAGCTGGACACTGGGACGCTGCGGTGCGCGGGAGCTCCGCGCTGCAGGCTGCTCTGCTCACCATGGTGCTCGACGAGACTAGAGCGCACGTCGGCGTGGCCGAGCAGAGCAACTTCTTGATGGACGTGGAGAAGTTCTACGATTTCATGGACTTGGCTTTGATGATCCACAAGGGCATCTCCCTCGAGGCGCCGCCCGTCGAGCTGTACCTGTGCTGCCTCACGTATTTGGCGCCGCGAGCGGTCAAGTCACACGGGGCCTTCAACTCGGCCATCGCCCCCAACTGCTCGATCCTCCCTGGCTGCGGGAAGGCCAACCACTGGGCCAGAGCCTTCCTCTACCACCTGTTGGAGGCAGCCCATGCGAGAGCACCGGTGGCATGGGTGCGGCAATACGTGGACGACGTGCCCAGCCGTATCGAGGGTTCGGCCGACGAGGTCCTCGACCAGACCAAGGACGTCGCGGTCACCCTGGTGCAGGGCTGCCTTGACCTCGGCCTGCGAGTTTCGCCCAAGTCCATCCTGATGATGACAAGGCCCAAGGACGAGAAGGCGGTGCTGTCCTACGTGTACCAGGAGACTGGCATCCGTGTGCAGAGGGCTTCCACGGCGAAGGACCTTGGCATCGACTGCACCATGGGCACCAGGCGCAGCAACAAGACGGCCAGGACACGGATGTCGGCAGCGAGGGCGAGGGCTACGCGAACAAGTTTATTCCGCCGACTGGGGCGCGGCAACAAGAGGACCAAGGGCGTCATGCTGCACGACACCAACATCAGGGCGAAGTACCAGTTCGCCGACCCGATCATCGGAGTGCCCCCTTCGACGACAACGCGGCGACGGGCCCAGGCAGCGGACCTCACAGGCCACACCGTGGGCGGGCGCTGCACCTCCAGCACCCTACTGCTGCACTACCAGGACGACGAGCCCAAGATGGCGGCCTTGGAGCAGCAGGTTAAGGAGTGGTTCCATTTTTGGGCGCAACACCCGAAGCTGCGAGACCGTGTTCGACTTGGATGGCGTGCGGTGCTCAAGAGGCTCCTGTACATGCGACCTCGTGCTCGGTGGAAGTGCGTCACGGGGCCCATGGGCGCGACCATCCTGGCCCTGCGCGACATCGGCTGGATACCGCGGGCGCCCGACGTCTGGATCGATGACGAGGGCTCCGAGTGGCGGCACCTTGGCAACGACGACGACAGCGCGCAGGACCTCGTGAAGGCGATCAAGAGCACCGTGCTGCGCCAGCTGTGGCGCCAGGCAGGTGACCCCCCCTCGGAGCGGGCCTCGGCGGCGGCGGCGACCTCCACATGCTCAGAGTCAACCTGAGGAGGATGCGCCGCCAGGAGCGCCACAAGGAGGCAGGCGCCCTGGAGGCGGCAGCGCTGGCTGGAATCTGGACGGGAGCGAGGGCTCTAGCGGCAGGCTACATGTGCTCCGACGACTGTGAGCGATGTGGCGAGGGCAAGGACACCATCGAGCACAGGCTGCACTTCTGCTCGGCCACCTGCGAGATGGAGGACCCTTGGATCGTGCGCACTGAGGAACTCCGTCAGCGTGCTATAAATGATCTGTCGGAAAATCGCCACGTCGCTTTTTGGACCAGGGGGGTCGTTCCCCCCGAAAGGGTAGCCGTGCCGCCGCCGCCCGCCTGGAACTCAGGAGAGGGGCTGGGCGTCTGGGCAGTCGGCACCTCCCCCCCGGTCCTCGACCCTTCCTCGAGCGACGTCATTCCCTCCTCCTCTGCTGCCCTCACGTATGAAGGACCTTTCAACGTAGGAGCTGGTGAATACCCCGTCCGCGCACGTCTGGCGTTCCTGGACGGGTCGGCCACTTCCAGCGATGCCCGAGTCTGCCGTGTGGGTTGGGGTGTTCACTTTGTGGGGGAGTGGGCGGAGCTGGAAAAGGGCGGCGGCGAGCCTTCTGTTTTTGTTCGGCACCGTAGACGGGGACCAGACGGTCCCCGTCGCTGAGCTGGCTGCCCTCTGGAGGGCGCTGCAGCTTTCCACGGGGCCCCTGGACCGTTTCACCGATTGCCAGCTGGTTTTCGGCGGCTGGGTCCAAGGGAAAGCCCAGAATCCCAGGGGAAGCCGTGCCAAATGGTGGGCCCGAATTCGCTCGGTCCTCGAGCGCCGAGGGGGCCGGAATGTCCGCCTTTTCAAAATCTTCTCGCACTTGGATGTTGATTCCCACGTGCGCTCAGGCCAGGACCCGCGTAGCTCCCGTGGAAACGAGCTCGCGGATGCGCTCGCCCAGCGGGGGGCGGAGTCTGCTGCCACCCCAATTCGGTCCCACGTCAAGGCACTACAGGTGGCCGACGCACGAGCGACCCTCGTGCACCAGCGAATCGGCGCGGTCCTGGCCCCGATCTGTGCGGAGGTCGATCGTGGGGCTCGCTCGGCTCGGCTCGGCGTTGCGGACGATTCGGTCGGTTCCGTTTCGGGCCTGGGGCGGATCGGGGAGCTCGAGGCCCGTTCGGGGCACAGCTTGTCTCGCCTGAGCTCTGGTAGGTGGGCCTGCAGTAAATGCCGACAAACCCCAGGGCGCCTTTCCTTGGCAGACTGGCTCCAGAGTGGGGCGTGTCGCGGGGACGTCTGTAAGAGGGGTCTGAGCGAGCAAGGCCACCACGTCTATGTCCCCCCACCTGTATCGGCGAGTTGAAGGTCGGTGCCCGCAGTGTGCACCCCTCTCATTCCATAGCTATGCAGAATGGCCTGGCCTGGTGCTGGAGGTGTGCCAGGTACGCCCCCATCGTTGCTGGAGGGGGACGGCTCTGCAAGTTGGCCCAAGAGTGCCCCCAGAAGCGCACCCCCTCTGGCCAAACGATGATCAATCGTCTCCGTCGTGGCCTCACCCCGAAAGCGGGGATGCAATGGCCCATACCCCCAAGTGGGGGTGGCGGATCGGCTCCCTTGCCTGTGGTCGGCAGCTCGGCCAAAGATTTCGGGAGGCGGACGGACGGGAGAGTGGGCAGCTCGCTCAAGGCCCCCCCCCGTCGACGACGACCATAACCTGGTTCAGATTACCCGTAATCTGCACGCGGGGGGGCGTAGCACTGCTCCGACCTCCTCTTGTTCGAGCTTTCCCGAGCTTTCCTCCTCCTCATCCTCCTCCTCCTCCTCCTCCTCCTCCTGCTCCTCCCCCTCCTCCTCCTCCTCCTCCTCACTCTGGGCGCGGCGGGCGCGCGCGTGCGGGCCACGTGCGGCACCCACTTAACCCCGAAGGGTCTTGAATACACCCCTGGGCAATGATGGGAAAATCTATCATTTTCGGCCGGCTGATTGACGGATTGGGACCCCGACAATAGTTGGAAGTTAATTATTCTCGTCGGCGGATGCATGAGAGGTCATGAGAAGTGCTCGTCGTCGTCGTCGTCGTCGTCGTTTCCCGTCGTCGTCGTCCTCGTCTTCGTCCTCCCTCTCCCTCGAGTCTACGAAACGGAGCCCAGAACAGGAGGAGGTGGAGGAGGAGGAGGAGGAGGAGGGAGGGGAAGGCGGATGGAGGGGAAGGAGTAGCAGGAGGGACGAGTTTCTTTTCCCCGCCGAGAGCTCGGGGGGGGGGGGCATCATTAAAGACCCTCTGCGGTTATACATCGCGGACGTCGCAAGCAGGTTTCACACGGGGCGCTGTCGCCCATTGTCAGGCTCTGGGGCCCTCGCAGAGCGATCCGGCTCGAAGAAGGCCGCAGGGAAAGATCGGGTCAGGGGCTCCCCGGTTGTGATTTCTCGCGGCGCCGCACGCTTTCACCGCGGCGCGCCTGCGCCTGCGCCCGCGCCGCACATTGGGTGCGCACTGGGCACGCTCTGGGGCTCTGGGCACGCGCTGGGGCTCTGGGCACGCGCTGGGCACGCGCTGGGCTGGGCACCGCAGCTCGCTCTGGGCACGCACTCGGCCCTGGGCTAAGGTCGGACGTGTCCTCCTAAGGGCGGATCTTGGACGAAAGTCTAAAAAATAGTCACCATACCCCAAAAAATAGACAGACAGACGCAAACCATGAGCCCCAAATTACCTTTTGACTATCTTTTTAATTTCCCCCTTATGAGGGACACGCCCGACTTAACCCTGGGCCCTGGGCTCTGGGCTCTGGGCACTCGCTGGGCACGCGCTGGGCACGCGCGGGGCACCGGGCACGCCACGCGGACACTGTGCGCCCGCGGGTCCCGCGGGGCCGGCCCGTGGAGGCGCCCGGGGGGGCGGCGCCGCCGCGGCGGGTAACCAAGCCTGCGCGTGCGAGTGGATGATGATGATGATGATGATGATGATGATGATGATGATGATGATGATGATGACGATGATGATGATGATGATGATGATGGTGGTGGTGGTGGTGATGATGATGATGACGATGATGATAATGATCAGGATGAGGATGAGGATGAGGATAATGATGATGAGGATGACGATGAGGATGAGGATGATGATGACGATGATCATGATGATGATGGCGGTGGTGATGATGGTGATGATGATGATGGTGGTGGTGGTGATGGTGATGATGATGGTGATGATGAGGATGAGGATGATGAGGATGAGGATGATGATGAGGATGACGATGACGATGATGATGATGATGATGATGACGATGATGATGATGAAGATGATCATGATGATGATGGTGGTGGTGGTGATGGTGATGCTGATGATGGTGGTGGTGGTGATGGTGGTGATGATGATGATTGTGATGATGATGCTGATGATGACGAGGAGGAGGAGGAAGAGGACCGTCATCCACGCCCGGATGGCTCAGGGCGGGCGGTTGCAGAGGGCTCGGGGCCGTCACCGGTCTCTGAGGGCTCGAGCGCTCCTAGATGCGCGCGCGCGATAGCTGCTCTGCGACTTTCTCCGCCCTATCGCTGCGCGCAGGGTGTTGGCGAGTTGAGGAGCGCACCCGCTCCTCAAATTCGGCGGCGAGCAGGGGGGGGGAAGTGAGAAGGGGCGGGCCTTCTCAGGAGGCTCAGAAGCCCCCTGGCCTTCTGAAAAGTTTCCTGAGCCGTACCCGAAGACACGGAACACCTCTCAAAAGGCGCGAGGGCTTCTGAGAAGCCCCGCCGCGTTCTGAGAAGGCCTTCTACTTCACTTCTCTCCCTTCCCCCCCTCGCTCGCCGCCGACAAATCGCACACGTGACATGACGTCGGGGGTCTAGGTCCCCAGGGCCCAGACCACCCCGAGGGCCCCGACCCGCGACGTCAGGTCTGTTCCCATGACGTCGACCGCCATAGGTCTTGGCCATGGCCCAGCTGCTGGGACCGGCTTCTCGGACCCCGGACCCAATACACCGAAGGGTTTTTCATACACAGCAGTCCAGGTCCAAATATACAACAGTTCTCGGAAAAATCACAGAAAGCGCCCAGGGCCTAGCCCAGATCCCGGTCTCTCCGAAACGAAACCTGGAGTCCATGAAAGCCGACGCGCCTTCTCAAGACCTCTGATGGGGGCAAGGGCCCCGCAGGCCGCAAACTACAGAGCATCTCCGTCCTGATGTTTTCACGACGCGAGCGTGTGGGGAGCGGGGAGCACCGGAAGATCTGGCAACAGTCGACCGACCGGTCATCAAACGTCGCGCTCCCCGCCACACGAAGCGCGGTTACTGTCAAGCTCTCCACCGCCGGTACCTAATATTGGGTGACGGTGCCGCCGTCTCAAAATGCCCTGGATGCGACAAGTTGAAGTTGGTGAGTTTGATTTGGGCGGCGGCGCCTTCGGTGAACCACTAAGTGCCCGCGATGCGCTATGAAGATGTTGCGCGGGGGTGGCACCATAACCGCTCGCCAGCGAAAACCCACTTCTCGTATTGCCTAATAGTTTGGCAAAAAATGCCCCGCAGAACAAACTGAGCGATGTGTGTTGCAATATTCTTGTATAACAAATAATTAGTTGGCATAAGATAAGAATATGGTATCAGCAAGTTGCACGTGCGCCATGGCTCTTGCACTAAAAGGAAGGGGGAGGAGGAGGAGGTGGAGGAGGGGGGGAGAGGGGGCAAGACATCGCCCCCCCGGGTCCAGCAACGGGGCCCAAATCCCAAGTGGGGAGGGGTGGGGGGGAGGTGGTGTGCGTCACGACGCGGAATAGTGCTCGGAGCGGAGGGGGCACGGGGCGGAGGTCCCACTGGGGCGCAGGGACCGACCGTCCCGGCATTCCTATAGTCCTACCACGAAATGTTCTTAGAACCCGAAAACGCTCTAATAACACAAATAATGCCCTTAGAACAAAAGCCCGATGTGTTAAACCAAGACAGTCTCAATCAGACATGTTCTAAGAACATTTCGTGGAAACCACAAAAGGTTCTTAGAACATTGTTCGGTAGGGCTATAAGCGAGCCAGGACGCTTCGCCACTGCTTGACACTGGGGCGCTGGGAGCGCAGAGAGGAGGGGGGGGGAGGTGATGTGCGTCACGACGCGGAATAAAATGGTCGGGGCGGAGGGGGCACTTGGCGGGGTTTGGGGCAGAGGGCCACGGGGCGGGGGTCCAACTGGGGCGCTGGGGACGGGGGGGGAGGGGGTGAGGTGGTGTACGTCGCGACGCGGAATAAAGTTGTCGGGGCGGAGGGGGCACGGGGCGGAGCCCCCACTGGGGCGCTGGGGACGCGGAAAGGGAGGTGGGGGAGGTGGTGTGCGTCGCGACGCGGAATAAAGCGTTCGCGGCGGAGGGGGCAATGGGCGGGGCTCCCGCTGGGGCGCTGGGACGCGGGGGGGCTCGGGGCAGAGAGCCACGGCGCGGGGGGGGTGCGACGCGGAATAAAGCGTTCGTGGCGGAGGGGGCAGTGGGCGGGGCCCCCGCTGGGGC